GTCTATAATAGATGATTTAAGCCCTAAGCTTTAAGAAATTGGCCAATCACGGTCAAGTATGAGAAGAATGCGCGACTGTGATTAGTCAATTTCTTAAGGCTTAGGGCTTAAATCTCTATTGTAGACTGGGACTTAGTCCCAGTCTACAATAGATGATTTAAGCCCTAAGCTTTAAGAAATTGGCCAATCATGGTCAAGTATGAGAAGAATGCGCGACTGTGATTAGTCAATTTCTTAAAGCTTAGGGCTTAAATCATCTATTGTAGACTGGGACTTAGCCATGACGTTCAGCAGGCACAACTGTTGAGTGAGCGCTCAATGGCCGCGTTCAGCAGACACAACTGTTGAGTGAGCGCTCAATTATTTCTTAACATGATTGGCTGGATCTAAAAGTATTAGCCAATCATACTGAGCGCTCACTCAACAGTTGTGTCTGCTGAACGCGGCCACTGGTCAACAGTTGCAAAATAAACGTTCAGTAGAACGTTTATTTTGCAACTGTTGGAAGCTTCCTGTGCTATGATTGGATTATTCTTCTAGTTCTAAAAATGTAATCCAATCTCAGTACAGAAAATGTTCAACAGTTGCAAAATAAACGTTTTGCTGAGCGTGACCATTAATTTCTTAATATGATTGGCTGGATCTAAAAGTATTAACCAATCATACTGAGCGCTCACTCAACAATTGTGTGCGGCCGATGGCCGCGTTCAGCAGAAAAAGCTGCTCTGCAACTGTTGCAAAATTCTTGAATCTGATTGGCGTAAAGTAGCTTTTTCTGCTAAACGTAACCATTGATTCAGATTTATTAAAATCGGAATTTTCAGCATTGCTTAAGTCTCAAAATGGCTGCTTACGTTCTCGACAATCACTGGTCATTTCCCTTAGGCCCGGTCTACAATGAGTTGTTAGTCATTAGTCAGAAGTCGGAACTATATGTCGGTCCTTTTTCTTCCACCCAGAAAGGAAAAGGACCGACATATAGTTCCGACTTCTGACTAACGACTAACAACTCACTGTAGACCGGGCCTAAGGCTTTAAGTTGTATCGCTTAAGTTTTTCGTGTGCCCGAGCCTTTATCGGCGAAACGGAGCGCGATTGGTCGCCGACGTGAAGAGTGCACCGAGTGCAGCACTCGATGGTGCTCCAAAGACCCAAAGCTCGCATCTCTATTGGTCGGTTCGCCGCGACTGCCAGCGAATCCCCGTCTCCCTCGTTTTGCGTCCTCTATACCTTTCACGTTTCGTGGCGCAAACGCAGAAATCGTTTACTTTTGTTTACATCAATATTTAAACCACGAAATTATGTCGAGATGACAGAGAGCGAGCTCCTTTCGGTAATTCCCGTATCGATACCGTCCTTCGACAGGCTGGATTGACTTATTTCGACTTCACGTTGACGTACCTTCGCGTCCCCGCGAGACCATGTCGCGGAACCGATCGCCGCTTTTCGATTAAACGGAAATACACAGAGTATTGAATCATTATTTATGTTTTAATTAAAAACACGTTTTCTGCATGCTGAATTGTTTACTGCACTGTTTAAAAGCCGGATCTTCCAATGGTCGATGCCCAGCACAGTTGTAATAATCTGTAACAATCTAATACGATTCTTGTACAAGTATAATTGATATTATTTTATGTAATACTGCGCATATTTGTTATAATTAAAAGGCGTAGACTCGTTCAAAAATATATCACATTGCAACATTTGACTTACTCTGAGCTTCACTTAATTTTATCTACTTTGTTCATGTGCTCTGCTAATCAAGTTGAAAACATGTAGGTCCGGTTTCACCAACGTTGTTTAACTTTAAGCTTAGCTTAATTCGTTCTGTGTCTCTTCCCAACTGTTACTTTAGAAAGAGGCAAGCATGAATTAAACCAAGATTAAAGTTGAGCGATGTTTGGTGAAATCGGGCCTTGGAATGATTTTCTAAACTCCCGTCAGATCGGTATGTAATACCTTGTGGAACATTTGCAGATAAGAGTCGAACAACTCGGAGCGGCGATATCCCACCATGGAGAACATCATGCGGTCCATGCAGGAGTGCAACGCTATTCGTTACGCGTCGTACAGAACCGCCGCGAAGATGCAGATATTACATAGAGAATTGAACAGTGAGTGAAGGTCTCCCTCGTCTGATTATCGTCTCCTCAAACTCGTTTCGTTTTTCTTCTTTCACTCAGTGACGCACGTACAGCTGGAGTTGATAGCGGGAGTGTTCGAACGTCACAGGCTCTCCATCACTGAAAATTGCGTCAATTTAGACCCGAGTGAAATCGAGGACGTTCTGTCGGACATCTACTTCGCTGCGCGGAAGGAAAGTAACTACAATTTTGACGTCGATCTCGTGACCAAGCTCGCCACAAGTTACATCCTGAATATTTTCGACAAGTGAGTCCTCGTCCCGCCATATTGCGTTAATGTCAATGCGAACGTCTGTAATCTTAGTGCGATTTATGTTGTCTCTCTTTAAACGCGTTATATTATTAGTGATAATAACTTTACTGTTGCAGACAAAGCACCGGAAATATTTTAGTGTTCTCGGTGAAAGTTGCGCTGGTATTGCTGAGCAGCGGCAAGTTGCAAGAGAAGTACGGGTATCTGTATCAACAATTGGCCGATCACAATGCGTGTCTGTCTCGAGCCGGTTTGCACACCTTGTTAACAAATATCTGCAAAATAACGGAGATGCTGGGGGAAAGCGTGGCGTACGGATACGAACAGATTCAATCGCACATAAATGCCTGTTTCGTAAAGGTATGGGCAGAACTGATTTTATGTTCGCCCTCATCTGTTAAAAAACGAACGCTACTAATGTACTTTTCTTACCAATGCAGATTAACTTTAATCTCGGCTTAAATTGCTTCTTGTCTTTTTTTTCAATTTGTAAAACTAGAAAAAGATACAAAGTTGAACCGAGATTAAAGTTAAACCGCGTTGGTAAAAACGGGTATAAGTCATTCTGTCGTACACTTTAGTCCCAAGGCGGCCTGGGAGTCACTGAAGCGGAGTTCGCCGCGTGGATCATGCAAGAGCCTCCACTACTGGTCTGGATAACGACGTTCAATCGAATAAAGTCTGCAGAACACAGTAAGCGACAAAAATTGAAGTATCACGTACCCAAATGTGCGAGCGAATAATTTTTACAATAAATTCAAAATAAGAAATATTCGGACACTAACACCCTGTCACGGCTCTTTAGTCTTTACTCCTTCGAATTTGCGTTTACCACACGAGAACCTTGTGAATTTTATTAATTTGTTAATCTTTACAATTTTTACTTACAGTTGTACATAACATCCGATGTTCCTCGTGTAAGGTGACGCCGGTGCAGGGGCCGAGATACACCTGTTTGAAATGCACGGGGTATCACCAATGCCAGGAGTGCTTTCTCCTAGGGAAGACATCGAACAAGCACAAATTGAAGCATCCGATTCGCGAATTTTGCGTGAAGGTATAATGTTCAGATCTCCATTCGTCAGTGTGTTGAATATGTTACTCAGAAATCATTCCTTTTCGTAGACTTCACATCGTGAGATAACGAAGCTGATCCTGGAGTTGATCAGAAATAAACTGAGATTGTGTCCTACCAGAGCGGTCACTGCGGAGGACTTGGTTGCAGACGCCGCCAGGTTTGTCACGCGTACAAGCAAGTACGCGCTTCTGCAGGCTTCATAAATAATTATGCGGTATTCTTCATTAGGAAAACGATTTTTTGTTTACAGCAATGAAACCAGACGAACGGATTACGGTTCGTTAAGGAGCACGGTTAAGCGAAAAATTCTGACTGACCCGCAAAAGGAGTTGCAAAGTATCATAATGCATTTGGAAGAAGAAAATCGTCAATTGCAGATCGAATTGCTAGATATACAGGGCACCAAGGCGGAGCGGCTGCAACGTCATCGAGCAACCATCGAATCTCAACTGCAGCGATTGAAAATGCTCAAGGTACATTAAATTGAAAATTGCCTGAGCATTATTCACTAAGGTCGCGGCCGAGCCGCCGCTACAAATGCTTCAAAGTGTTTATCTTCTATCTTTTCTGAAAGAAAGGGGAAGAATACTTCGAAACGTTTGAAGTGACCGCTTGACCGCAGCCTAATCTAATTTCCATAGAAATGTCTGTTCACCGATGCAGCCCAAGTGCCACAGATCATCACTCGCATGCAAAGCACCCCGATGCTACCGCCCTTATCGTCCAGATTAACGGCCTTGCCTCTGGAATTCGAACTGAGCCCGATAATCAGGCAGGACAGCACAAACCAACAAGGAGCCAAATTGCAACGCAGAGATGCCAAATTAATGTTGAATAGTTATAATACAGCGTCACTTGTAGAGCATACGATAAAGGAGACTAACGCCAACGCTCTTCCTTGCGCCGAAGAGGCCTCCACAAGTACTGGATTCGCTAATATACCAGAAAGCAGTCGTATAGAATTAAGTACTTGGATCGGAGGTGAGTACAGAGTTTAATGCGATTGGAGAGAATCTGTAAATTTATGTGAATGCTTAAATTAGGCACGAGGAGAAGAGAACTGAGTCCAGCCGACAGTGGCTTCTCTCAGTGGTTGGCCGCCGGCAATTCGAGCTGCAAGGAGGACAATTACGCGGCCAACACGGCAATTAGTAGTACAGATAACGACACGTCGCTGATAGCCTCTCAATCTCCCACCGGCATTCATAGGGACAACACGCCGTCCTCCCTGCAACGCCCTGACAAACACTCGCAACACAGTAGTTTGCAAAATATTCAAGGAGATCTCAACGATATACTAGACAGACTGCAAAATATGGTCGCCAATGACTGCTTCGACGGTAAGTTATGCAGCTGACAGTGCATGACACGCAAATGTGTGCGTGGCTAATGTATAATGTACACTTTTTTGCAGAATCGTACGACGGCAATGACAATTGCAAATTGAAACGTGCCACCACGGAGATGGAAGACCTATTGACCGGCCTAATCGAAGGTATGGAATCTCGTAAGAGCAAACTTACTACTATCGTCTGAAGAGACGCCCCGAACGTAAACTTAGATATCGTACGTTAACAATTTTTTTTTATATACTTATTGCACCGACTGACTTACTTTTCCCCTTGCAATTTTATTACAATAAGGTACTGGTTTTTAACCCTTTACTCGGCCTGATGTATGAAACGTGCCATTTTATATGACATTAGGCATTATCCAAAGAAGGAGATCAATATTATGTAATTACTCTAAGGCAACGACAAATACGACGAAAAGATTGCACTCGATATTATGCGCTGCTAATCAAGCAATTATATTTAGCGCTACTTCCAAGATGTGATTATGGCCATTATATTTGAGAGTATCTTTTCATAGTTTTTACATATACACTTCTAGTAATATCTGTGCAATCATGACGGAAATGATCTATTTTTAAGATTCTATTGAACATGTGTGAAAAATGGATAGGTTTTATGTAGCCCTACATGCACTCTTGTACGAGCTTTTTAAGTAGTTTTATAATTAACTTAGCCTCGGTAATTAGAAGGAACCCTCGCGGTAACGTGGAAAATCACTCCGTCCATTTAAATCCCCTAGGTATAACGAGTAATTTTATTATCGCTATTCGCACATACATACGCGTCTCGTACAAGACATTATAAAATAAGTGCCTTATCATCTACGTTTAAAAGTAATGTAAGTCGTTATGTCAAATTTTTTACGACCCCGACTAGATGGTTGATATTGCGACGTATAATTCGTATATAATCGAAAGTAGAAAAATTTGTACGTGCATAATGCCAGTATATGGTACAAAAGTCTTTGAAACTTAATACTGAACAAAAATATATCGGACATTACTACATGTCCTTCTCTAGATGTAGCGTGTCAGTTAGATAGGTGACCTTCAGGAACCTCGAGAAATGCGTTTTCTCAGACGGCCGATTCACCGTCCATGCCATCACGCGAATGCCGCGCTCGCACCAACGTTCTATCACGCGTCTGGAATAAAAATTGTACATACACACACTTCGTCCTGGGCGATTTTTGGCGATTGTCTGGTACACGTATCAAAGTATACCCAGAGTGTACACTCGGCGTCACGAATGCTTTTACACCTGAAAATGGCCGTTCAACATATTCCGATAGAACAATTCATTTTATTAAAATAAATTTTCCTCTTGAATATCTTCAGCGTCTTTCTTCAAGTGTAAAGGCACTCACGGCGCTGAGGGCACACTTTGGTACACGTCGGCCAAAAAGTCGCCAAAAATCGTCTCTTGCGGATACGTGGAATTGTGAAAGTCTGACTTAACGACGTTACTCACGGATTTACTATATCCTTGTGTAACAGAACGGCGGAAACGCCAACGATATAGTAGACAAAGCGCGGTAGCAGCCACTCGTATAAAGTCTCCAAGATGCAAGCTGCCAAATGCTTGAGCGGATTACGAAACCGCGCCGGACCGGGCGCCTCCAGGCCGGCGTACGACGTTCTCGAGAAAAAGTGCGGCCTCCAAGCGAGACTCGAGACGATACGCGGCTCTTTCTTGCGAATCTGAAATATAAAGCTAAAAATGTATTCACAGTCGACGTAGATACGCGACTCAAGTCGCCGTACCGGCTTTCAACTTACCATGTACACTACGATCGGATTGAAACTCGACACGACGCCCCTCTGGAACAACTTTGGGAATTTCTCGTACGCGTCCAGCACGATTTGCACGACGTCCAGCCTCGTCTCCTTCACGTCTATAATTACTCTTTGCTCGCTGTCCAGACATTCCTGCAGCGCGTCGTGCAGCAGGGCGATCTTCTCGCCTTCGGAAAATTTGTTCCTTTGGCAAAACAATCATTTTGTTTCCGTGTTAAACTCTACTACTCCGACGACACTTTATAAGCACGCAAGTTTATACAAAAGCTACAATTAAGTCGAAATATATATATCATACTTAAGCGGGTGATTATAAGTTATGTCAAACTCCCTCAATTCCTCCCATGTCATTTCACTAATCGTGCCCGTCTGGCCCGTGAGTCTTTCGATTGTTGGGTCATGGAATATTATTGGAATGTTATCCTTGGTTAGCCGTAAATCAAGCTCAATTGCGGTACAACCCTTTCCTCTGCTCTGTAAAAAAAATATGACTAATGCAGGAAGGAATATGTTTAGAAGTGAGCACGTTTGCCACAAAATAGCCAAAATTAGTACGCTCGAAACTACAAACAGAAATTACTTGACGATTAAAACAGGACGATGCATTAATATTGTAACATTATTACTAGAGCTCCTTCGCCTTGCCATTACTAAGCGACAATGAATGTTAAGACAAGCAAACGACAAAATCATGAGACGCACAGAGTCTCCGACGAAAAAAAGAAATCTTAGGTACTACAATAGCTAAGCTACGTCGAGGTGTGTAACTTTACGTTTCGGAAAGCCAACAAACTGTTCTCGGGATAATCGTATCCTCCACCACGGTGGGCCACCACTCGCATGCAATATCGCTCCCCGTTACCGTGGTTCTCGGGCACGGGATTTTTATCTCTGGCCGGGAGGAGCGGATTCACGCCGAGCACCTCTTGCACGGTGCCGGCGGGCGGAGGGGACACCCGGATGAGCTTCAGCGCTACTACGACGATCAACGTGCCCCAAACAATCCAGGGTACGTACAACTCGTACAGGACGGTGACCAGCACGCCCGCCGCGGTCTGCAGGAATATCCATAGCAAAGCGCAGTTCACGATCAGCTCGACAACGTGATACATCTCGGTGTTGGGACACTCTCTCTTTCTCTCGCCACCGCGCGAGATTGCGTGCTTTTTAAGGATCCCCCCTCACCGGCCACACGCCGGAGAGAACGAGCGAGGGGATTCAGGCGGGTGTTTGCCGCGCGTCTTACCGCGTTTACCTCAGATAAGATCACCGCCTCATAAAGCACGGTCAACTGGTAAGAGACGCGCGAGGCCGAGCGCAGTTCGCGTGACGGGCGTCCTGGTGGGGCGCGTCATTCTCTCTCTTGCTCGCGAGTCAATTTGCGAGGTCAATTCGTGTGAACTTCATACCCCGTCGAACGCCGTCGAGTGCATGTATGTACGTGCTGCAGGGCACGGTTGTTTCTCTCCTTATCTCGCTCTTTATCTCTCACAAGGTCTTCTCGCTCGTATTCGTCTCGGCGGGTAGGTCGGCGCGCGATTTACGCGATCGCGAGAGCCGTGCAACGGCGCACGGCACAAGATTAAACGCCTATAAACAAAAACAATGCTATTCGCGACGCGCGAGTGTATACGCGAGCTTCGGGCGTGTTCATATGCAGCGCGCGGGGCCGCAGCATAAAGCTAATGTCACATTTGTCGTACGACAAA